CATCGGATCTGACCTGACATGTCTGAGGACCAGGGGGCTGATCTATTGCTGGATTACTGAATGGGTCTCCCACGTTCTCAGGCCTCAGGGGTTCATGGAGAGAACTGAAACAAACACACTATAAAGATACACAAAATGACTTTGATGAGACACAAATTGAGCACAAATAAGCCAAAATTACTGTAAAATAACTACAACACCCAAAACAACCACAAGTTGTGTAGGACAGGTGGGGGGGGTCTTCACATGTCTGTGCACAGGGGCCTAATTCTTTAAAATCAGTTTATGCTCAAATACAGTTTTACCATAAACCATTTGGAAACACATTAGCATCACTCACAAAGATAAAGTGTAATTTGAATTACTTTTCTTATACAAACGCTTCAATGAAGTGCAAAGACTTCAGCTCTAGCATCCACATTTCACAAGGTTCATCTGGTTCAAATGTTTTGACAAAAGAAGGAAGCAAACCAGTCAAGTGTGTCAAGAACTTTCTAAACTTTTATTGACAATTCATTATATTAACAATGACGTGTGTGTGTGATGGTTGGTCAAGAGATTAACTCTGTGAAGAGCGACTGATTGGCCAAGGCGCTCTGCCTTTCCTGCGGGCGAGGCAACAACGGACTGCCACTCAGGCCAAAATGAGGGACAGCTGTACTCAGGAAGTAGAAAGGCACATGGGTAATTCTTCCATTGGACCAACACTGAGAACAGAGAGAGAGAGAGAGAGAGAGAGAGACAGAGAGAGATATCAGTGTGGAGGTGAAGCCAGTATGGTTACAACGTTTTAAGACCTTTATATACAACATTGAACACAACTAACACTTATTTCTCCACTATCCAGGCCAGTATAATGGAAAATCCTCAACTTAAATTACTCACCTCTATTTTTACAGTAATTTGCAGTCAGCAAAAAATCCTTAACATATATATTTATATATATCAAAGCTACCTGGCATATAAAAGATAGATAAATCAACAAAAGAACAAAGAATTGAATTATTGGGGCTTATGCTAAAATTGAAGCTTGGTCAAAGAAAACAGTTTCTAATATCATCTGTTAAAAGCTGTATTGAGAGTTTTCTGCAGGTCTGTCTGAAACATCATGCAAAACTAAACAACTACAAGTCACTGACAAAACCATCCCATGTTTACTTTTCCTGTTCAAGGCTAAAACCACCCATTATTCACTAGAATAAATTAAATTTATCAAAGAGAAAACAGGGACTCGTAGGTTAACACTAACCACAGTGAGCTGGGCTCCGTGCTGGAAATTTGGATGGAATTGCATCAGTCTCGGCTCTGCATCAGCCTCCCCTTGAACAAAACCACTTAACAGGGAAACAAAAACAAATTAGTAAACCAGATGGGATACACTGTAGTAGGATCCTGGGAAATGCAATACTTTGGAGCTTTGGTGAAGCTACACAAATATGAAATGTACATTAACCACATAAAAGTACAAACCATGGCAAAAGCTCAAAAATGGGATTGGTTCTTGTCTTGAACACTGCTATGATTGCAGGTCGGTCTGCCGCCTGTGGATCTCCTGAGAGAGAAAAACAGAGGCCGTTAGAACTAATACTGAATTAATAATCAGTGGGTGCATTGATGTGAATGAAAGAAAAGTGTGAAAGACCTTGAAGAAGAACTGCGAGTCTCTCTCCTCTTGGATCCCAGGCGATAGACTGGATCTCTCCACCAATACTGGTGAACAAATCAGACAGAAGTGAGTGACGCTCACCTTCAAGGGTCAAATAATCAAGTGGTGAGGAGAAGCATTCATGACATCCACTTCTGTTTCTCTCTGGGCTTTTTGAAAGCACTGTTTGTATTTGATGTCTGTTCAATTAAATGCAGCCTATAAGTGATTTAGCTTAAAGATCTTACATGATGTCTCCATCTGCTGTGTTAAAGGTTGTCTCTGATAGGTCAGCCACCACAGCTGCTGCCTGTGATCCTTTAGATGTGCCTGTAGACATGCCTGCAGAATAACAATGACAACGTTTCAAGCTGTAAAATCCACAGAGCTGCTTATTCTTGAAGATAACTGGTTACTCTGTATAAACACTGAGACGTGAACCTGGTGCGTCAGTGAAGGTCAGAGCATAGATGACCATCTCGCCCTGCACAGTAAAGAGAAGTCGACTTCCATCTGGACTCCAACAGCCAGACTGGCAAAAACAGATTCATCATTATTTGATAATTAAAACATGTCAAATATTTTCCTGTAACTTTGAAACTCGGAGAAGTTAATCACCTGGCAGCGTCCTTTAATACATGGCCAACGCTCACAGGTCCACATCCTGGTCTCCCAAACCCTAAAGAAAGAAACTTTACTTATTCATTTGTAAAAACTTCCCTCCAATGATTATCTGGTGACACCTGATTAACTCCAGACTGTGCCACTAATCCCTTACATGTTCATAAATATTCATGGAGCTCTCTTATTGTATAGAAAGTGGCCAATGTCCACACACATTAAATAAGAAGAAAATTGGCAGCTTTACATATCTTGAACTTGAAATGTGCAAATGTACCTCAACAAGAAACTGAAGGAGCGAGACAAAGAGGAGGCTGGGTATTTTAGAAACTCTCGATTTCTGATTCACTGTCTCTAACCTGAACAGGGCAGATGGTGTAGAAGCCAGGACATGGCTGCCGTCAGGGGACCAGGACAGAAAGGTGACCCCGCCTCCGCCGACACGCTGAAGTGGCACACAGCTTTCTGCAGCGACGTCCCAAACCTGAAACATACACGGACATCAAAAGGCCGAACAACTTTGTCAGAATTTCACTCAAACACTTAATACGAATCAGTTGCCTCGTACCATAACTGCAGTGTCCATGGGTGAGGCTGACACCAGAAGAGATCCACTTGGAGACCAGGCGATGGAAGTGACTGGGGAGTGACCAGGATGAGACAGAACTTGAGCACAACCAGATGAAGGCCTGGACGCGTAAAAAGGAAGAAGAACAGGGTATCATGGAAAAAAAGGGTTTATCAATTAAATTAAGATTTTTAAGAGTCTATTAATACTCTTAAAAATCTTAATTTGTTAAATAGCTTTCACATTCATACTGATCAAATGACAGAAAAACTGTAGGCAGGAAAGTCTCCATTTATTTATGGACAATTACTTTTGTCTTTGCTTCCCGACCATAATTTATAGCGCTATAATGAATCAGTTCACATGATTAAGATCCAGATAAGTGGCAGCTTGCTTGAGCAGTGACAGCATTTACGACAGATCGGATGGTGCTGAATGAAAAAAAGTACTGGAATTCAGTCATTTTTAACTCAAATCATTCACATGCTACTTTACGTACCTGGTTGACAGTGAGCAGGGGTCCACATGCCAGACAAGTAAACAGTTCTGACAGGCGACAGCCAAAGCAGACGCACACAACGGCTTCCACTGCACTGCTGCCACACTCCTCTGGAGACGGTGCTTTAGTGTGGGAGTGGTGGCGCTGTCAGAGTACAAAAAACGTCAATACTTAAAGTGCTATGTCAAAGTTTAAGAATAACTATTGTAGTCTTAGGGTAAAAGGATAAAAGAATAACTCACAGAAAAGCAGGAGCATGATTTTATCATAGATATGCAGTGTAGACTTTATACTATGAGCTGTCATTTTGGCAACAGCTCTTCAGAGCAAAGTAATTGTACCTTTTAGGGTTGTAGATTTTAATGGAGTCATCAAGGAGGGCTACAGCAAACTTGTCTGCGTGAGGATGCCAAGCAAAGGCTCGCACCACACAGTCAGACCTGTAATACAGAAGGGATAAAAGCAGAGAAAGGTTGTGGACTATTCAACAAACTTTTGTTTTAAAATGTAAACAAAAAAATGTCTAAATCATTTATATAGAGCAGCAACTAAGGATTCTTTTCGTTATCCATTAATGTAAATGATGGAATTTTGGTTTGCAAATGTACTTGATTAACTATCAAAAACTCTGTTGAATCTTTTCATCATCACAGCTTCATCCTAAAAAATACATCTTTAATCAGAAGCACTTACCAGTTCAGTACTTGTGAAAACTCAGCTATCATGTCTTCACTGCTCAACTATGGCGCAAATGACAAACAGGTAAAACACAAGTTAACTTAACACACATGTAGTACATTTATTGAGAAGTTCGTGAACAGAGAGAATCATTCACCCTCCAACAAATGAAAACAGCCTTCTAGAGTGATACACTACACAAACTTCTGTACAGTGAAGATCAAGTGAAGTAACATTAGGCACACACATCTTTTTGAGAGACTTTCACCAGTGAAAGTACTTACTGTAAGATGAGGAAACAAGGAACCGTGAAACGAAGAGACCCTCTGGAGCAATGCCAGGGTGCAACCAGAACTCACTGACAACCATTTTGGCGCTGCAAGAGCAAAACAGTGAATATTGGATATGTAGGATCAAGTTGGTTTGTGTAAAAGAAAGCAAACACAAGATAAGATCACATACCCTCTGTATTTGAATTGGTAATTTCAGTCAGTAATCCTGTGAAACCCCCATCCCGCCTGGAACAGACAGAAGGCACATTAATGATATTTGTCTGTCATAGATTTGGGACAAATATTGTTAAGAAAGTGTGTGTGTGTGTGTGTGTGTGTGTGTGTGTGTGTGTGTGTGTGTGTGTGTGTGTGTGTGTGTGTCACCATGCTGCAGCACTCCTCATCCACAGAGTCTCTGAATGGTCCAGAAACGCCGCCTTGCTGCTGCTCTCTGTTCGACTGTGGAGCTTCAGAGACTCTCGGGGGAAATAGAGACTCAGTGGACTGGACTCCTGCAGGAAACAACACAACCTGCGTGAAGACGTTCACTGGACACTGTCCATCAACATCAGCAGAGACACTGGACTAGTTCAACTCCACTGTCTCCACCGTGTGTAACCCTCCACACCTGCTTGGCTCGGTCCTCGGTGTTGGTCCCGGGCAGCAGCTCGTTGTTGGACTCGCACAGGGTGCTCTGTCCGAAGGGCAGCGGAGGAGGGAACAGCGCCAGAGAGCACATCTTCTCCGGGATGAAACTCTGCCACTGGACCCTGGAAACACACCATGGCACAGTCAGGTACACGCATTCACAGCCGCTGCCATGTTTACGCCACAACAGCTGAGTGTAGCTAAAGTTAGGAGTTAGCTAGCTAGCCGGTTCCAGCGCACTTCTTAAAGTCGCTTACTATTACCGTCAGCTTCCGGTGAGGTTACCCGGTGGAGCGTCGTGTCTGTGGCGGTGTGTCAGCACGAGCTGTGTTTCCAAACAACTACATGAAACTTCACGCTTCTCTGTTCAGACGCTTTCGGTTCGACAGCTTCAAGCTAATCCCGCCGTGCGGACTACGGCGAGTCGGAGGGACAAACCGTGCGCGAGTCTGCTTTTCTTTTTTTTTTTTTTTGTTCTTACAGCAGCTTTATTTAAAACACACAGAACACAAGTGACAAAGCGACATTATATATGTATTAGTTTATGCGTTTCGTTTTGTAGTTATTATTGTAAAGCTAGAAATGTAATATGCGTATATTCTTCAAGACTCCCAACTGTTTTTGAAGAAGAAGAAATGTGTGAGGATGAAATGGTGGTGTGATTATATGACTAGTCAGTTTTATTTTGCTGCCATTATGAAACCCTTTGTATTGTGGATTTTGAAAAGTGCTCTAGAAAAAAAAGGTTAATACAAAAATTGAATCTACTAATAATAGTAAATACAAGAAAAATACTGTTGTAGTTGTTTGTCAAGAATCTAATTCAAACATATAAGAAAAAAACAGTTATATACTGTGAGGATGGATGATAGAGTATAAAAATGTAAATTTTAAGTTTTCTTGAAGTTTATTAATTGCTAGTAAACAAGTGAACAAAAGCCCCACCTCTCTGGTTACTAAAAAGGTCTGAATATGCAAGTGCTTGTTGTATTAACTAGAATAATAACTGTTCATTGATTCTTTTCCCCACATTAAAGTTAAACTCAACAAACATGCAACTTTACTTCATTCTTCCCGTTTGATTAAAATAATCTCTGCTGTGTATCAGGAGAACACTCCGTGGTCGTCTTGCTGACACAGTGCAGAGTTCAGTGCACAAACTGCACAGAGCTGGCATGTTGTCCTCTTCAGGACATAAAGCGACACTGCTGCACCAACCCTGAGAAACAGGTACCAATTATTTGTTGTCACATACAAAGCAGAGATTTTATTTTACTGTCACACATCATAAATTATTTTCACATGTTTTTCCCCTGCACTGTATTTCCTCCATTTCCCTGCTAATGTGAATTGTGATTATGATGAAGATAATGATGCTTTCTTTACCCCAGTGAGAGCTGAGTGCAAGGTCAGCAGAATGATATTATTAAGTTGTTAAAAGGCCCATGGGCTCCTTCCATCTCCCCTTTGAATATAAACCATTAAAGGATATTTGTCTGTCTTAAAATGATAGATAGATGTCCATGTGTACACTGAAACTGGCCATCAAAGTATTTGTAATACAGTTCCATTGTATATGATTCAGGACAAAACACACAGTTTGGTGAAAGCTAACATGAGACTTTAACACTGTGTTAGTCCAGTGGACATCTTCCAAAGTTTCTGCCATGGCTCTCAATTGAAATGACCCAAATGCATAACTGAGAGACACAGGCAAGGGATTATTTATCGGCCAGTATGAAGAGGAGGAACAAGAAACAGCTAGCAAAAAATGTGTCTAAGTTTGTGGTAATTTGATAAATTGAGGACAAAAAACTAAATACAATAAGATGATAAAGGTTTTTAAACAAGTTTATGACACATGGATCCTCCATAAGTCAGGGTCAGATAAGGACCCATCCAAGTGTTCACCCATTTACAACTGAATTTAACTTCTATAGGGCCAGAGGAGACATGTATATGGTCTTTGTTTATATAGAGCTTATATAGATCTTATATAGATCTAGATGACCAGTCAAAGTGCTTTACAGTACAATTTTTCCATGAATCCATCACACACACTTTTATACTGTGCATATGTGAAGCATCTTCTCTATTACACATCACTCACACAGCCACCACAGCTTTCAGGGGCAATTTGGGGTTCAGTGTCTTACCCAAGGATATTTTGGCAACAACCTTCTGTTCTATCTCCTGAGCTACAGTGAGCTTGCTTTTTGGGCCCCTCAGGGTATAGGGGATTCACTTCAGTAATCCAGCCTTGGAGAGTGGCACACCAGCATCCCTGGAGCCATGTGTCTCGCTTAAGGTCACATCAGCAGCAGGATGCAGGACTGTGCAGGTTCATTTCTCAGATGTGGAAATCACTGAATGAAATGAACACAAAATTACAGATTTTTGGGAAATAAAGCAGATGATTTAAAACTGATAGCCTAGTTGTATGTGTTATATCTTTTGCAGAGGTTGATTCTAGCGCCCCCATGCGGCGCAACTCTCATTTCCGTGACGTCAATTCAGCACTGGGAAAGAGACAGCCCCCCCCCCCCCAAAAAAACCCAGCGCGCCTCACGTTGCATGGGTCCCCGGTTATTGATAACACGATTCGGCCGCTGGGATCGGTCCCAGGAACGTGAAACTCGTGGATCTAGGAAGGCGAAATCCAAAGAGGCAGACTGGACCGAGGAGGAACAACGATTGTCTCGTTATCACCGACAAACAGAAAGCGGAGCCCACCCCTTCACTTGACAACGCGGCATCAAGCGGGCAGAAAGGTATGGGAATGTCATACTATCGTACTATGAGTTAAATGCTGATTGAATAAGGGATAGGGGTTAAGGGTACATGGAGCCTGGTGCCGCTGCTCGGTGCGGTCGCATTCACGCCGCTTTGCACTGCACCAACGAACCGATGCTGCCAAGAAACCAATCAACGTCGACGGACGCAAGAAAATCATATTTGTGCAGCGGCGAAGCCGAACATTATGAAATATGTGTGTGTGCGTAACGATGCCAACATCATGATTGGATGTGGAGACGCTGCGGCACTTTCACTTGGCATGGACCATAGTAGGCATCGGGCTCGCAATTCATGCACGTCGGCTATGATGCTGCTGAGTGTCATCATCACATCCTCGGTTATTTAAAGATTGATCTTCCTGCGTGTGCGTGCATTTCCGCGTGTGTGTGTGTGTGTGTGTGTGCATGCACGTGCACACTGCTCCCTCGCACAGGCCCGGTTGGTTGTTTATTGGCCGGTTTTTTTCACGCTCTCATTTGGCTCCTCTCATGCAGTGGTGCAGTATAAGACACTGAGCTAGTGCATGTGTAGGATATGTGAATAGTATACTCTCTCTCTCTCTCTCTCTCTCTCTCTACACCTCCGCCCCCCTTCTCCCTAACCGCCCCCCACCACCACCACATGCACGCAGGCACGCACGCCGAGGTGGTTATGCAATTCGCCATATTCTTGAAAAATGCACACAATGCTCTTGCACTTGATGTACGACGGGCGACATATGGGAGCCGCTTTGCTCGGATGCTGTCAGGCTGCATGAGAGGCTCCACAGAGGGACAGTCAAAGAACAGGTGACAGTCATGCGGCGCTGAAGCTGCACAAACTCCTCAGCTCGATTCATTCATAAAGCCCCCTCGCAGCTCTCTGGGTGATGGCTCCACTGGGCAGGCTGGTTTTTTCCCATTCACAGGCACTGAGATGAGGCTTTAAACTGCGTGATTCACACCGACTTCTGTTGTGGAAATGGAGTGTCTGAGTGGTTAAACTGGGGGACTGGCTGGATGCCTAACTCACAGCACGACTACACTCGTCTGGTGGTTCTTAAAGATCACAAGAGACACTAACAGTAATAGTACAAGTCATTTCAGCACTGGACAGATCCCTGAGTCAAACTGAGCTGTCCAGTGCTGAAATAGTATCCACGTTTGTTTATAGCCAAAGAGTGGGAGCCCTGACATGAAGAGGCCCAGTCACCTTTGGTCATTCTAATGCATTTGTTGTCATTAATCTTCTCCTTCAGGTTTACCTCTCATCTCTCCATCCTCCATCCACCCTAACCTGCGGTGTTGGGGAAACCCCTGATGAGTGGGACCTGTATCCATGAGCCCCGTGCCCCTTCCCCCTCCCTGTCAGGCTTCAGCACCCCCATCTCAGAGCCCCCCTATCGACGACTCGATGGAGACACCCCTGCCTGCACCCCCGAAACGGACCTGACCCCCACACAGTGTGTCCTCCGTAACGTGCTGTCCATTGACACCGGTGGACAGGGGGCGCCCGGTGGCAGCAGCCCCACTCCCAGCGATGGACCCTCGGGCCACTTTGACAACAGCGTGCTAAAACTACATGAACATGAGGTCTGCCAGTGTGGCGGCGGGGCTGAAGCAGGGCACAGTCCGGAGGCTGGTGCTGTGCGGAGCCAGTCGGACAACATTCGGCTACAATCGGGAAGTGGAGGTTTTTTGGAGGGACTGTTTGGCTGTCTAAAGCCAGTCTGGACGATGATTGGAAAGGCCTACTCCACTGAACACAAGCATAGCCAAGAAGGTAAGTGAATATGTTCTACCTGTATGCTCTCTGACCTCTGCTGTGTTCTTCACAATGAATCTAAATGCCACAGAACAGAAGGCAGAATACTTTGTGACATAAACACATCATTTAATCATTTAGGACTTGATATTATTATGTAACCATGGAGATGTGCCATAGATAGAAGAATAACTGAACCCAGGGATGGAGTTTGAACTCCACACTGATGTAAGAGGTATTCACATCCTTTACTTAAGTGAAATTACCAGGGCAACAATCTATATTTACTCTACAACAATTATTATTTATTTTAATATATTACATAACAGTAATGTTGGTGATTTATCATTACTCAGGTACAATTTGTAGTTGCTTGAGCCAGAGCTAGTTTACTGTCAGGCCACCTCCAGAGATAAGCCTGAGGGGTTGTAAGATGATTAGTGAGGCATGAAAGTAGAAAAAAAGTCTACCACACAGACTTATTTTTGTTTTTTTCTACTATTGCTTTATTGTGAAATATTGAATGATTTGACACCTTTGGGACTTGAACAGTATCATGTGTTTTTTTTTTTAGGTATAATCTGAAAAGTAACTATAGGTGTGTGATGAATGTAGTAAAATATTTCACCCTAATATGTAGAATAGGAGTAGCAGAAAACGGGTATATTCATGTAGAAGTATCTACTTGTGTACATTTAATTTGTCTTATTCCATAACCAGGCCTCCATTATTTGCATTGCTCTCTGACTGCCACCGTGTCCTATTGGCAGCACGACTGTGTTCAGCTCCCCTCAAAGTCATCAGACAGTGAGTTTTCACAGCTGCACTGGGGGACGCATCATGTGAATGTGCCTCCGCTGCAGCTCTCCAGAGATCTCGACACTTTGGTGGACCTCATGAAGAATTGATTCGCCTGTCTCTTTTATTCTGCCCAGCTCCTCTCTCTTTAGTGACCATGCTCTCGCAGTCATTTAAGTCGTGTCACTGTGACAGCTGACAGACAGAATAGACCAGAAGTGGATTGTTGTTCTTTTCCCTCAATTTCTTTCTTATCTCTGCAAAGAAATACAAGATGTCAATATATAATTTGTTTAAACATGGCAGGTTCTTTGTGTTGTGTAATTGTGTTCTGCCCCCCATTCAAATGTGTACTTAGAGTTTCCTCTGCAAAACTCCCGACTCCTCTTTTTCTATACTAACAAGAGTACATATTGACATTTGGAGGCATTGCAATATGTTATTGATATAAATAAGCAATAACTCTTTCTGTTGCTGTGCCTGCGTTTATAACTTTCTATAATTGCACATTTAGTCATCTAGTTTTGTTTTGTTGGCTTGTTGGTCTGCGTTTAGAGTCCTGGGAGGTTCCTTTTGAGGAGATCTCGGACCTGCAGTGGGTGGGCAGCGGAGCACAAGGGGCTGTCTTCCTCGGCAAGTTCCATGGAGATGACGTGGCTGTAAAGAAAGTGCGGGACATCAAAGAGACCGAGATCAAACACCTCCGCAAACTCAAACACCCCAACATCATTACTTTCAAGTGAGGAAACCCATGATAAGTGTACCATGATTTTGATATATGCATTAATCCCACTTTTATATAGTGTTTCCTTTTCTGGTTAGCTGTGCTTAGTTATCTGTCTTGCATCTAGGGGCGTGTGCACCCAGGCTCCTTGTTACTGTATCCTGATGGAATATTGTGCCCAAGGCCAACTGTATGAGGTGCTCAGAGCGGGCCGTAAAATCACCCCTTCCCTCCTGGTTGACTGGTCCATGGGCATCGCAGGGGGCATGAACTACCTACATCTCCACAAGATCATCCACCGAGACCTCAAGTCCCCCAAGTGAGTCAACACAGCTATAGCCTGCAATACGAAAGCCAACACAACATCTGACATTTTACAACTTGTAACTTTATTATTCCCTCGTGAAATTCTGTGTAATCTCTCCTTTGCAGCATGCTGATTACACACGATGACCTGGTAAAGATTTCTGACTTTGGCACCTCGAAGGAGCTCAGTGACAAGAGCACCAAAATGTCGTTTGCTGGCACCGTAGCCTGGATGGCTCCGGAAGTGATTCGGAATGAGCCCGTGTCAGAAAAGGTGGACATATGGTAAGTCTCATAAATGTTCGTATTTACAATATTTCCACCTTAATTACATTTTTGCCGTTTAGCAGTTATCTTCAATGTACTACTATAGAAGTGCAGATACTGCATCAGTATTGTTAGTTAATTGTTTGTGATTTCAGTGTTTCAAAGATCTTAATTCTTCAAAGGGAGTTTTAGGATTTCTGCTTTTATGTTGTTGTGATGTAGCACAGTATGTATTTAAGTCTCAACCTCAGTGAGACTTCCTTAATATATACATAATATGTATAAATATTGTACTTAAGTGCACATTTGAGTTACTCACACTTTACATTAGTATTGGCATTTACACAACTTTCACTTGTACTCTGATACATCTCAAAATCAACCCTTAAAAATCCTCTTGCATTAGCTGGAAAATGCATCTCGACAACACTGAAAACAGGCAGTAAATGCAACATACACATTAATGCAGCAGTACTTTGAATCCAAAAATAGCAGATAGAAAAGTAAAACATTTTACCACACTATAAGAAATTAATACTTTACGTACGTTAACGTACGTTTTAAGAATGCTGGAATTATTGTCGAATCAGTAAAGGATCTGAATTCTTCCTCCACCATTGAATACACACAGGTCTTTCGGGGTGGTGCTGTGGGAGATGTTAACTGGAGAGATCCCTTATAGAGATGTGGACTCCTCTGCTATCATCTGGGGCGTGGGAAACAACAGTCTTCAGCTGCCCATACCTGAGAGCTGCCCCGATGGCTTTAAGATCCTCCTCAGACAGTGCTGGTGAGTAAATGTCTGGAAACAGACACCCGGACTGAAGCAAGAGAAATAAAGAACTTGGCTCATCTCTGGTTGAGGAACTCTATTGATTTTACAGTGCTTTGTAAATGTAAACAGCTGTCTCTCCGGTGTCTGATTTGCAGGAACTGTAAGCCCAGGAATCGCCCTTCTTTCCGTCAGATCCTTCTTCATCTGGACATAGCATCAGCTGATGTACTGTCCACTCCACAAGAGACGTACTTTAAGTCTCAGGTATGGTTTCTTCTCTCATTTCCCACCTGAATTTATGAATATACACCAAATAAAAACGCCACGAATCATAATAAATACACATACATGCACAAACAGACCGAAACACACATGTTGCTGAGTAGTCAGACACAAAAATACAAAAGAGATCTGTGTTTGAGCTCAGCTCTGGCTAGACAGAGCTTGTTAACAGAAATGTGCTCTCATCAGGCTGAATGGCGAGAGGAGGTGAAACAGCACTTTGAGAAGATTAAATCTGAGGGTACTTGTATCCACCGACTCGACGAGGAACTGATCAACAGACGCAGGGAAGAGCTCAGGTATATTTTATACTCATACCTCTCACATACCTTGATTTATGTTAATTCACAGTATACCAATGTATTGTACTGGATAGTGGTAATTTCTCGACATTGGTCTGAATAGGTGGGGCCACTTACACTCTGTCCTATTTCTCTATGCCACTCCTTTGTGTGCCCCTGTGGGTGAAATAAGTGCCTTGAGTGGACACCTATTGTAGAGGTTTGGATTTTCTCTTGTGTATGCACAATGACATCAGTAGCCTCTTTTCTTCACAGGCATGCACTGGACATTCGTGAGCATTATGAGAGGAAGCTGGAGAGGGCTAACAACCTTTACATGGAGCTAAGTGCTGTAATGCTGCAGCTGGAGCTCAAAGAAAAAGAGTTGCAGAGGTACGAGTAACTGCGTGGACACAGGGTGTGTTTTTGCAAAACGCTGACATTCCTCATTAATTAGCTGCACTGTTTTCACAACTTTATTGTCCAGGAGAGAGCAGTCCTTGGATAAGAAGTATCCCGGCTTGTTTAAGCATCATAGTTCCAGGCAGAGCAGCTCCTCCAACTCCATGGACAAACTCATCAAGAAGAGAAATGTACCCCAGAAACTGCCTTCAGGAAAGAGGTGTGAGATCTCAGTTCAGCACTATTTGATAAAAGTTTAAATCTGAAATGAAAGAATTCATATTTATAAGGCTTGTGGAGTGTAGTTGTTGACTAACCCCTCCCACTCTTTCAGGCCAGACATCCTCAAGTCTGAGGTAATCATTCCAAAAATGGATTCCTCTGTAATGCAAGTCACTATCCCAGCCTGCCCCAACAGAAGCTCCACTTCTCCTAACCGGTCTCGGCGGGTAAAGACCCGACATCGCAAGCCCGGTAAGGGCAGCAGTGGGGACCTGGCTGGACTTAAGGTGAATCAGTCCTCCCCTAATAGGGAAACAACTGCCCAGGTTAACAGTTCTACCACTAACACCTCCAAGCAGCTCCTGGAGCCTTCTGCTGCCCTGCGGGGCCTCAGCCATGAGCAGCAGCAGCGGCAGCTCTCCTCCTCCAGCCCTGACCTCATCTGCACCACACTAGAGGCAGAGGCACAGGGAAAAGGGGAGGCCTCGGTGGGTGGGCTGGAGAGAGGGGGGAGCCTCAGTGCCTCTGCAGGTTTAGGGGGGTCCGAGGTGGGTGCAGCCGGCATGGATGATCTCATAGAAACTCCTCCGCGCAGCGACACTCCCAGCGAGGATGCTGCATCGTTCCCGTTCTCCAGCAGCCCAGACTCACCGTGTGGGCGGGGTGCGGCAGCAGGACGCGGATCTCTGGGATCTCCACGGCTGCCTCATGACGGAGAGGACAAAGAGGAGGGGGCTGGTGCAGTGAGGTTGCCTCGGGGGGCATCAGGGGGAATCGGGAGTCAGCACCTAACACCTTCAGCCATTCTATACAGGGCAGCTATCACACGCAAACAGGTACAGAGCTGGATGTGTGTTTGTTTTCCTCAAAGCTCCTCTCGTCATAATTTCCATCATTTTCAATTTTGCATTTTCCTGTTTCTTACTACAGAGGCGTGGAGTATCATCAGAAGAGGAGGAAGGTGAAGTTGACAGTGAGGTTGAGTTACCACGAAGACGGTGAGTAAGTTGATGTCCATCACCAGTGGAAAATTCCCTCAAGCAATCTTCCCTCTCTGACAAGTTGTTGACTCATACAGAACAGAAGAATAACGTCATTCTTTCATGTGATTTTTAAACCCTGCTTTTGTTGTTGTCTCTTTTCAATCTCCAGACGACCGACCAGCATCACCAAGTGCCAGTCGGTGTCTACGTTCAGCTCAGAGAACCTGTCGGTATCTGACGGCGAGGAGGGCCACACCACAGACCACTCTCACAGCGGTACTCCAGACGTGGTCAGCACCAACACCGACGACAGGTTGGACGACCGCAGCGACGATCTCCTCTCTCAGGGGTCGGAGATCCCGGCAGACAACACTGATCCTGCGCAGGCTTCTGATGGCCTGTCAGAGAGAGACGGAGCCCTGGGCCAGGCGAAGGCTCAGCTGGACGCTGGGCAGAATCCTAATGAGGTAAAACGGCTCCACAGAGGACTGCATGTGTCAGTTTATGTCATCTTCTTATTCTGATGTAAAACACAGGAAAACAGTGGTGGGAAATAAGTAGATTTACTCAAAAACTGCATTTATGATGGATTTTGAGCAATTGTATGGATTGTAAGTATTTCCACTTTATGTTACTTTACACTTAATTGCCACTACACCTCAGAGGGAAATATTTTCCACTACCATTATATGAATGCTGCAGTCACTAGTTATGTTTCAGATTAAGATTGAACAAAAAAAAGACGAGATTTTACTTTTACGTTTATATCATTGTCATATTATATTTACTCTGGTAAGGGCTTTTAACAGTTCTTCCACCTACATCAACAAGTTCATGTTGGTTGTAGGTCGTGAGTGAAAGTTGTTTTCCTCTTCTATGTTTAGAGCCGGGCTCTGTGCGATGACTCCGACTGCGACAGTGCTGAGCTGGATCAGTCCGGCAGTGGAGAGCCCAGCCGCCCCCCCAGTGCTGGAGCATGGGTTCCACCGTCTCAGTCCTACCAGGGGTCTCCACAGGCGCCGCACACAGGACCTCCATAGATCACTGGACACTGGTGAACGACCTCCAGCCACCCGACAAAGAACAACCATCACAGGCGTACACCAATCCGTCAGTGCAGTACCTTACTGTTGTCATGAGGGATCACACCAACTACAACACTCAGACTATGACAAGTCGACTTATGGTGTCTCAGAAGTTTGCTGGCTGGCAAACCTACATCAGATGACATAGGGCATTTGTCGTAACCTGGCATCAAATATTTTGGCAGCTTTTGACATCAGATAAATGTCATTTAAGTTCAGTAGGTTTTTTTAGGCAGATTAGTTACCAAGGTAACCTTAGCCACTGCTCCAGTTCAGCAAAAACTCTTTCACAGACGCACGCACAAGAAGACACCACACTTGTAGTCCTTGAAACACTCTAACCCTCACTCCTGGAGCATCCTTCATGGTACTCCACACACTAATGCATCGAATACTAATGAATAATAATGTAAATATCCATGACATACCACATGAGAAATATCTAACTTTATTTTATTTGTAAGATAAAAAAAAAAATGTAAGCCTAAACGATATGCAGCCCTGTGAACAAATGCATGACTACATGTTTATAATTTATGGTTTGAATGTGTCCGTTTTATATTTTGTGAAAGTTTACACTTTTTTAATCCTGAAAGTATTACTTTTTGAGTTATTTTGATTTTGTTAAATAAATGTCAGCACTCGAGAAAGAAAAAAAAAGTCATAATGGAATGAAAATCTCACCAGGATCGTGATGCATAATTAGAGATCTCAATAAGTGATATATATATTTTTTAACCCTCCTACCACTGACTTTCACACACACATAAGACACGCGTGAGGTTTTTATTAAGCCTATCGAGTTTATGATAGAATGGGAGACGTCTGTATGTATATTTAGGTGCCAGTTTTATTAGGGAGCTAAAAGTAGTGCGGTCTAAAACAACAGTGGTATCGTCAGGAGTTGGACATGTGCACTAGTTGGCTATGGACTTGCATATTTAAGCAGAGTTGCATACGAACACAAGCACAACTCCTAAAAACACAGCACGTATTCCCCATCTCTGTTCAAACATGGTTCCTACATTGCCCACAATGCAACACAGAGATTTGGGTTCCCAACTGACTCACATGGCATCACATGAGCCAGCATCTATTTAGAGATTATACAACTTCATTTCAGATGTGTGGTAATATAGCACTCCCAAAGACCTTTAAAATCGATGTTGGTGTGTAAAATAGTTGGAGTTCCCTCTTTAGTAATGAACCAAAACGAGTCGTGTCGCTCTCGAGGCTGACGGGCTTCATAAAAACCTCAACTGTACATTTGACCCTTTAATATTACTGCAGAAGTAGCCGGATAAGGAATAGAGCACTTCTCTGTGGTGGTTACTAGTGAAAACAGTAAGTATCCTTTGGGTTTGAATAGAAATGTTTTGTTTTTATACGGCATTGCACATTGTACCTGTAACATAGGAGTTATATCGAAAGCAAAATATTATGAGCAACAATAAATAATGTATTGGTTAAAAAAAACAACAAAACAAAACGTGTGTTTGTTTAAAAAGACGGGCCAATGGCGTAGCTGCAGTTTGTGCTGTTGCTGCGTCACATAAGACAGCTGAATGAGAAATAAATGACTATTTTCAATGACTTTAAGCATGTCCAAACTGATCCAGTGTCATTTCTTCACTTGCACATTTGTCCATTTACACCTGAAATAGGATTTCTCCACAAGACAGAGACACGTCTTTGGATTATTTAATAGCACTTTCTGATAAGGCACCAGCTCTAAAGAGTTCAGAAGCTGTTATCGATGGTTTTATTACGACTTCATAAATCCTTTATCTATTTCATCTGATTCTTTATATACCAGCTATAAATGAGAATAACTGCTGGGTTGCCAGGTTACAGACGACTAGGGTCAGGCACAGGGAAAACTAAGGGGAATTTTTTTTCATTTAGCAAATAATGGCAAAATGTTGTCAACCATTTATCTCCTGGAAATCAGCCTATTCACATTTAATATGTAACTACAGACTTGATGGGTTACCGTCTAGACCTTTGCTAATGGTGACTAACTAATAAGCTGATGGCTTATTACAAACTGAGAAACCCTTATTGCCCTTTATGAATTTCAAACTGACAATATAACTGATAACTGTTAATGCTTGTATCTGATCCATCAACAAGTTATTATCCATTAATAAAGCCATTAAAATCGACGCCTTATCAGAAAGTAGTGCCAGTGAACGTGACACTGGTGAATCAAGGTGTCCTGTGCGCTGCCTCTATGAACTAATTTCACAACGTAAAAATGACCAACCATCTCTACAGCATTTCACATCTTTTTTATTTCTGCATTTCATTTCAACAATTTAATTGCACCCAGATCTACAATAGTTTGAAAACGTGCACAAAAACGTGAGTTTCTTCATCCTGCAAAGAATAATAAAAAATAAAATCTGACCCAGGCAAAAAAGGATAGCAGGAAACTAGTGTTAATTCTATAATTCTCCTTCTAGTTAATCATAATTTAATACCTCAGCATAATATACTTATAAAGACCAATATGTCTTGTAGTTTTGCCCCTTGCAGCATTCCCCAGCCCTGCAGTTAAAAAAAATATTTTCTCTATTTAAAACAAACATTTCAATGTTATTATTATCATCTTCATCATCATTACTATGGTCTTAGTAATTTCTGAGAAAAGAAAATATTTTCCTCTCATTCAGGCCCACTCCTAGTCACCGAGGCCCACCCACCCTTATCAGAATCCAATATACAACAATGCTCAAAAGTCCTGATCGAGAAATACAACGGATGGAAACACAGGAATGACACAAAACAATTACTCTGCAAATTAGAGGTGAGACTTAATGTAGCTTAAAATTCTCATCTGAACCCACACATGGGATGAATTACCTTCTGACTGAAAGGTTGTTCCTGCACACACCTTCCACTGGAAACCATTTACACCCACTGAAACCCGTTAAAACTCACAGTTCCTCATCTAGGACCTAGAGCTTCAAACTAAAGATGGCAAAATATTCATGATCTCTACTCTTACAAGGAGCTGTG